TTTTTCTGGCATATGACATCCTAAACTTGAATAGAAACTAAGACTTATTTGGAGCTAACCTAAACATAAAGAAAAACATTCAGTTTAATTTCATTACAAGACATGGACTAATGTTCCAAAAACACCTAGCAAAAAGGGACTTTTCTTGACTGCTATACTCTCAGGGCCATAACCTGGAGACTCAGCACACAGTTTAACCAGACACTAAAAAGGAAGGATGGAAAACGGTTTTTCCTTGGCATTCAATTGACTTTCTAAAATATAGGGCTTGAAGCAAAGTCTTTACTTGGCTCAACATGATGAGCTTAAACATGGAAATTACATTCATGTTGAAGAGTATTAAAAATTCTAATGATTCCTGTAAACTATTATGAGACCTTGGATATCACCCACTCAACATGCACCATTATTACACGAGCATCTCAATGTCCTGTTCTGTAAGCTGAAATGCACTAAATAGGCTAAGATGCCTTTAAGCTCTTATGTCTTGAACCCTTTAACATATGGCAATAAAATTAAGGTCATGATAAAATTGTTATATTCAACCTTTCATAAATTTTATAAAAAAGAACGAATCATCTAGCCTTAAATTAACTAAGATATATAAAATAATGGTAAATCATGCCTATCTGTAAGTCACACCAAGTATTTGCTAATTCAAATAAGATATTTATGATTTGTCCATGTTAAAACCAGCCACTCAAAAACACAACCATCCTTTTTTTAATACTTAGGAATTTACTCATACTAGAGCAAAAGCTGAGTACATCTCATGAGAGAATTGTTAGTTCTCATTAATTAAACAATTCATAGATTGACTTTGTTAAATTCAGATTTTAACTACTACTCCGTCTTCCCCGCGAACACCACACAGCCCAAGAAAGCACATTAAGCATTATAGGCTTTCTCCCCCACGACAAGGTGAACTCAAAACAAAGTAATCACGTCCTCTGCAATGCAGAGAAAGAGTTCTTGCAGTCAATGGGAAAACTAGCATATTAGCGATCTTAAATGTTAAAGAAAACCTTCAGATGCTACCTCCCCACAAGATTTACTGTTATGAAAGTTAAAATTTTTTATTTATATTTCTTAACACAAATTCTGCACAATAGCAACAATGACTATTACAAGTCAAGGCACACTGCAATGCTCTGGAAAGAACACACAATAGCCTCCTCCCACAACAATAGCCTCCTCCCACAATGACAGCAGCCTTTTTCAAAAGCGGATGTCTGAAGTGACCAGTATGAAGAACAGAAGATTTAAAGGGAGCACTATGACAAGGTACTACAGTACAGCTTTGGTGATCAAAGTTCTGGTCAAGCATTAGTTGCAAAGCTGTCAGGCTGTTTTGTTTTTTTGAAGGAAAAGAACACTGGCTCATCTTTTACCTACATTAAGAAACTAGAATCTAAACTCATACACTTGGTGTATACCAAAGAGTAATTTTAAATTCCACCCATTAAAAGCATCTTTTTAGTCTTCATCAAAACCAACTCTATCTTACAACTTCAAATTAGGTCTTTTTAGATAAATTAGTTTTCAAAGATCATCTTGCATAGCCTAATTCTGTACTAACTGATGAAGAAAACTAAACAATTGTACAATGCAAAACTTTTAATCAGTCTAATTTTTGTAAATGGGAATTTTACACTTTAACTGCATTTCTCTTTGCTAAACATACCCCTGTAGTTTTTTATAGACACAAACTTCAAAAACCACCAAGCTACTTACTACTGTTGTGTTACATAATAGGGTATTTACATGTTAAGCACGCATTCTCAACTTTAATGTCTAGCTTCCCCTTTCGAAGTCCAAATTGTGCAAAAATTAAAAAATAACTTTTTCTAAAAGGAAACTGCTTCAATTATCTGTCTTATTCAAAGGCATTGTACATACCTGTCAACTAGTCATTTTTGGCAAGATATTTTAGTAACCAGGGAAAAGGCGTTTGATCCAGATGATTCCAATACAATATGTCAAGATTGAAATATAGCTCAAATGTTCAGACTTCAGGAAAAAGAAATCTAGTGGTAAATGGTATCTTACTTTTACTCTATTTGTTCCTAAAAGGTCCCAGACTGGTTTGTAAAGCAAACTTAAGGTTTAGAATTAGAACTGTTCACTACCTACTAAGAAATTAATGGTACACCTCTGCAGATTGAAAAATTAAAGACGAAATGTGCTTAAAGGAGGAAAATCCAAATGCCTTGATAAGTACTACTTCTCAATAAGTGAAAGTTTTAATAAAGCTAGTACTGCCAATGTATTGAACAGGTAGGTTTATCAAGATACCTCACCTGTTACTTGAACTTTTCCCTGTTATCTATCAAGCAAAAAATAAATTACATTTGGGCAATATGAAATCTCCATCAGTCAATCATCTGTGTAATAATTAGATTATTTCCTCTAAGACTGGTGGCAAGGTTGTCACCAGATAGAGCTACATAAGCTTATAAACTGGAGTGAACTATCATAGTTGAAGCCCTTATAAGACTTACAAAGTATTTTTCCAGACCCACTAGAACCCAATAGTCATCACACAATTAAAGTACCTACAAATCAGTGCTTGATTCTAATAAATGTTTAAATTAAAACATCTATACTCAAAGGATATTAATTTGTATTTTCTGATGCCTATTCCAGAAGAAAATGGAGTTTTCCTAGAAATTCTGAAAAACATTCAAGCACAAACTAGACTGACAGAATTGTTTCTTGCATTAAGAGACGTTTTAAATACCTAAGTTGGTCTAAATTCCAACAGGATGAGCAAAAACTAAACCACATGACATGACTTAGAAGATAACTGGCCTTAGGCATGCTTACTAGTCTATTTGAATGTAGTTACTACTTCAATGCTAAACATAATTTTGTGTTGTACTGTTATTTTGAAATCCGTTATTCAAAATCACATAACAAAAGCATGCTTATTAACATAAAGGATTGGCAAAAGTGAGACATCTCATAATTTGCTAATCTCTCAATTTTAAATAAAGTCCATGAGATCCAAATAGAAATCTCATGGTCCAATACTGAAGTACCATATATAAACGTTTGTTTTGAAAACTCTTCAAAAATGTGTAAGAACTCAATTAAAAAGCAATTATATTATCACCAGCTATCAATTTATTTCCCATAGACCAAATTTTGTCGGCGTCACTAAGCTCAACATCTCAAGTAACGTTATTAGGTGGCTATGATAAACCAGGACTTAAAATCTTGACTTCTCCAAAATTCAATCTATGATGGTAAGTATGAGGCAAGCGTTACTTGGTCTTATCAAGAGTGGGTTTTTTTAATGGTAAAAATTAACATGAATTCAAATGTCTAACTTCCCCTTTTTGTCTCCACTCCCCCCAGCCCTCTCAAGGTGGAGTTATTCGCTGAGCCTTTCACCCCCCAGCCCCTATGCGCAGACCTACAGACGCAAGTCTAAGGGAGGGCACCCCGCTCGGTGCGGACCGCACGGAACAAAGGGCCGTCCTTTTAAGATGAACCTCACGGTGTGTCCCAGAATGACTTAAACTTTGATTGAAAAAACACTGTGGGTGTGGCTCGATTTGGGGGGAGGGGGCCGAAGGGAGCCTGGGGCGGCTGCCGGCCCCAGCCCTCCCCCCCTGCTTTCGCT